CAACCCTGGTGAATCTGACGATTATGGGCCTTGGGGTTGGTCTTCTTGAGGAATATCTTTGTGGTGTTCTCTGTATTATCTGGAGTTGAATATTGTCCTGCCTTGCTAAGTTGGGAAAGTTTTCCTGAAAAATATCCTGAAGAATATTTTCCAGCTTGGATTCATTCTCTTCATCACATTTAGGTACACTTATCAAACATAGATTAGGTCTTTTCACATAGTCCCATATTTCTTGGAGACTTTGTTCATTCCTTTTTAACCTTTTATCTCTAATCTTGTCTTCTCGTTTTATTTCACTGAGTTGGTCTTCGACCTCTGATATCCTTTCTTCTGCTTGATCAATTCGAACGTTAAAACTTGTGCATACTTTGCGAAGTTCTCGTATTGTTTTTTTCAGCTCCATTAATTCACTTATATTCCTCTCTAAATTGTCCGTTCTCATTAGCATTTCATCAAACCTTTTTTCAAGGTTCTTAGTTTCTTTGCATTAGGTTAGAACATGTTCTTTTAGCTCACAGAACTTTCTTATTATCCACCTTCTGAAGCCTGATTCTGACAATTCATCACACTCGTTCTCCGTCAGGCCTGTTCCCTTGCTGATGAGGAGCTGCGATCCCCTGGAGAGAGGCATTCTGATTTCGGACGTTTTCAGCCTTTTTGCACTGGTTTCTTTCCATCTTTGTGGATTTATCCACCTGTTGTCTTTGTAATTGCTGACTTTCAGATTGGGTCTCTGAATGGACATTCAGCTTGTTGGTGGTATTTCTGTTTATTTGTTTTCCTTCAGCAGACACCCCTCGCCCACAGAGCTGGACCTTCCCGGGTTCAGCTGTGCTTGCTGTGAAACTCAGCCATCAGCAATTCCTGTATTTTTAGTCGAGACAGGGTTTTATCGTGTTGTTCAGGGTGGTCTCAAACTCCTGGGGCTCAAGCAATTCTCCCACTTCAGCCTCCCAAAGTGCTGGGATTACAGGCATGAGTCACTGTGGCTGGCCCAAATCATCCAATTGTATGAATCCAACAATTTATTTATCCATTGTTTGAGAACATTTGAGTTATTTCTTGCTTTCCCTCCTATAAGCAATGCTGCTGAAGCATATGTACAAGAGTTTCTCTTGGACATAACTCTGTAACTCCGGCACATGTAAAGAATTTCTCTGGGGCACATATGTAAGAGTTTTATTGCTGGGTCATGGGGAATGCTCTTCTTCAAATGTACTTGCTATGTCAAATATGAGCTCTCTTTTCAGGAGCCACCCAGTGGTTCTCAGCCCCGGCTATGCATTAGAATCATCTGGGAACTGTTTTTTTCCCCTCCAAGACAGAGGCTTGCTCTGTCACCCAGGCTGTAGTGCAGTGGCAAGATCTTGGCTCACTGCAGCCTCCGCCTCCCAGGTTCAAGCAATTCTCCTGCCTTAGTATCTGGAGATAGGTATCTGGATAACTCTCCAGACTCATGGAATCATAGTCTCCAGGGATGGGACTGGGGAGCTGCAATTTTGAAAGCTCCCTGGATGGTTACACAGCCAAGGTGGAGAACACCTGGGGCTGAGTTTTGGCCCACTCTGTCTCAGCTTCTCAAGGTCAGCTCATAGAGGTCAGCCATCATCTGATAGTTGCTAATATCACTCAGCAGCTGGACCAAGAGAAGGGACTCAATAAATAAACTCTGAATGAGTAAACAAAGCATTTCAAACAAATCCTTTATGCTGGACTCAGTGGCACAGGTATATAATCAGTCGTGGTAACTATCTCCTACTGTTGTGAGGATTAAAGGAGATGATGCATGTAGAGCACTTGGCACATATAAACTGCTGAATAAAGGCTGCTCCTGCAGCCTGGTGTGGTGGCTCACATCTGTAACCACAACATTTTGGGAGGCTGAGGTGGAGAACCACTTGAGGCCTAGAGTTCAAGATCAGCCTGGGCAACATAAAGAAACCTGTCTCTAGAAAAAAATAATACAAATTAGCTGGGTGTGGTGGTATACACCTGTAGTTCCAGCTACTCAGAATGCTGAGGTGGGAGGATCAACTTGAGCTCAGGAGTTGGAGGCTGCAGTGAGCTATGATCGTGCCACTGCACTCCAGCCTGGGCAACAGAGAGAGAGAGAGAGAGAGAGAGAGAGAGAGAGAGAGAGAGAGAGAGAAGCTGCCATTTTCCATGTTATTGATAAAGCTGGTGGGTGTTTCTGAAAATGGACCAGACACAGCCTTAGACTGGAAGGTGCTGATGTGTTATTGAGCCTCCAGGCAAAGCTGGTGAACACACTGCAGTCGGACTTTATGACTTGAGAAGCTGTCCTATCTATGAGGGTTTGTGTTCAGCAATGTTAAAGAAGGGGATTTGGGGACAGTAGGTTTCCTTTAGCAAGGGCTCACTATGTGCCAGATACTGGGCAAAGGAGCTTGCAGACATATTTCATTTGATCCTTGCAATCCATGAGGTAGGTATGATTATGCTTCCAATTGGGCAGAGAGGAAAAATGAGTCACACAGAAGCAACTCATGCAGCAGAGCTAGGATTGGAATGGAAGTGGCCTGCAAAGCCCCCCTCCCAACCTGCTGTGTTATGCCTCCCATTGATACTTTCCTGTGTCTACCATTTGGCTTTGCTCTGGTGAGTGACAAGCTGTTCCAGGGGAAAGAGCCTGTCATCAGTTCTGTGCACAACAAGGTAAAAAAGATAGCAGAGGTGAAGGAGGAGATTGTGGAGAACGGAGTGAAGAAGTTGGTGCACAGTGTCTTTAACACAGCAGATTACACCTTCCCTTTGCTGGCAAGCACCTAGTAGTGTTACTAGACCCCAATACTTACCCAAAGGTAGCCATTGGGTCAGGGTTTCTGCACTATAGTCCCTTCTGTGGTCGCCAGAAATGTTACAGGAAAGGGGTTCTGATCCAGACCCCAAGAGAGGGTTCTTGGATCTAGTGAAGGAAAGAATTCAAGGCAGTCCGAAGTGCAAAGTGTAAGCAAGTTTATTAAAAAGTAAGGGAATAGGCCAGGCACGGTGGCTTACACCTGTAATCCCAGCATTTTGGGAGACCAAAGCAGGTGGATCATCTGAGGTTAGGAGTTCGAGACCAGCCTGGCCAACATGGCAAAACCCCATCTCTAAAATACAAAAATTAGCTGGGTGTTAGGTATGGTGGTGCGTGTTTGTAATCCCAGCAACTCAGGAGGCTGAGGCAGGAGAATTGCTTGAATCCGGGAGGCAGAGGTTGCAGTGAACCGAGATGACGCCACTACACTCCAGCCTGGGGAACAGAGCAAGACTCTGTCTCAGAAAAAGGAAAAAAAGAAAGTAAAGGAACAAAAGAATGGCTACTCCATAGGCTTAGCAGCCCCAAAGGCTGCTGGTTGCACATTTTTATGGTTATTTATTGATGAGATGCTAAACAAGAGGTAGATTATTCATGCCTCCCCTTTTTAGACCATATAGGGTAACTTCCTGACATTGCCATGGCATTTCTAAACTGTCATGGCGCTGGTGGGAGTGCAGCAGTGAGGACGACCACAGGTCATTCTTGTCACCATTTTGGTTTTTGGCGGGTTTTGGCCCGCTCCTTTACTGCAACCTGTTTTATCAGCAAGGTCTTTATGACCTGTATTTTGTGCTGACCTCCTATCTCATCCTGTGACTTAGAATGCTTTAACCATCTGGGAATGCAGCCCAGTAGGTTTCTGCCTCATTTTACCCAGCTCCCATTTCAGATGAACTTGCTCTGGTTCACACACTTCTGACATTTGTATTGCACATCTATTGTGAGGTAGACAGTACTAATTCCACTACAAATCAAGTCTTCAGGAAGTGAGGCAATGTGGGTGGTTGTAAAGCATAGTTCCAGAGTCAGAACTATGCTTGGGTCAAATTCCAGCTCTGCCACTTTTGGTGTGTAGTGCTGGGACAAACCCTTAGCTCAGTTCCCTCATATATATAGCAAACACTCACTGAATAGAATATGCTACTTACTCTTCCAGTCTCTGGATGGAACAGAGAGCAAGAACAAAATTGCTGTGCTCATGGACTTTACACGGTATGGCAGAGCGGGTCCTCAGAAAATTATCACATTTACACTAAATGTATAAGGTAAGTGGTGATGAGTCTAAAGTGAATGGGGGGAATGAAAGAGAACGAGGGTAGGGAGAATGTGCATTAACGGAGAGTTGCAATTTTAGAAAAGGTTACCTGGGCAAAGACTCCCTGAGAAGGTGGTGTAAGATCTTTTAGGCTGACTGACGGTGCCATGGACGCCATGTTAACCTCTGTGATCTGTAGGGACACTCCAGATGAGTTCCTGGAAAATCTAAAGTGACTGGAAGACCATGAAAAGTGGAAGAAATAATCAACCCCTGCGACGCCTACTTAACTTTGAGACATTCTCCATGGTTCCTTATTTGGACCCTAATTGATAAGGCCATTGGATTTTGTAAGGGACCTTGGTCAACCTCGCAACTCCAAACCCGACGACCCCCTCCAAGCTTGCAAAAAAACCGCCCTCAACTGTCACTTTCCACTGCCCACCCCAAACCTATAAAACCAACTCCTATCCCAGCGCCCTTGGCGGACGCCCTTTTCGGTCTCAGCCCACCTGCACCCAGGTGAGTAAACAGTCGTGTTGCTCACACAAAGCCTGCTTGAGGGGGGGTCTCTTCATTCAGTGCGCACGTTTTAACAGGTGGCATTTGTACAACAGAAACACGGTTATCTATTTTCCAGGCCTGCAATGAAGGTTTAATAAGAAAATGCCTGGATTCGTAAAAAATCTATAGGCCCCAAACGGACCTACAAGACCTCTACCCCAGTGGATGAGGGGACGCTAACGATAGCAGAACGGTAATCGTGGCGGAACGTTGGCACAAACGGAAAGCTGATCCGAACGGAAAGCTGGTTCGGGGGAAACATTCGTTATGGAGGAACTTAATCCGGAACAAATCTTGGGCAGAAGCGGAACTTAGACAGGTCGCACAGTTACCATGGCAATGACGCGCGCCCTGAGGGCGGTGGCAGCGACGCAGTGAGACCTGGGAGGAGACAGAGGCAGGGCTTGCAACGGAAGTGGCCTCTCTCCCTCTGCAGGGCTGGGGAAGATGCTGCGCCCTGCGTTACCGTGGCTGTGCCTTGGCCTCTGCAGCCTCCTGGTGGAGCAAGTAGAGGCCCCGAGCCCCCTGGATCCGCAGGAGCGGAGCCGGCCATACGCGGTGCTGCGCGGGCAGAACCTGGGTAAGCGGCCCTCGGGCTGGCGGGCGGCGGGTAGTGCCTGAGTTTTGCTCCGGGTGCTGGAGCCGGGCATGTGCGGAGCGGACAGGGGTTAGAGTAGGGGGATGGGTGGGAGGGGGTGCAGTTGAGGCCTCTCAGGGGTCCGCAAGACCCCGTCTCCAAAAGGCTGGGGCAGAAGGCCTCAGGTTTACCGGTCAACACAAGGCATGGTGTCCAGTAGGCTCTCAGTATGTGCTGGTTGCCCATGAACGAAGTGCAGTCCGATCTCAGACTGGGTCCTCTACTCTCTGGCTGTGTGGGCTGAGGCTGGACAAGGCACAACATTTACCCCACCCCTCTTCTTTCCCAAAGGAGCCAGTATTTGTTGCAAAAACGGTAACAGTTGTTGAGCATTTCCTATATCCCATGTCTTGTGCTAAGCATTTTGTATACGCGAATTCATTTGAGCCTCGCAGTAACTTAATGAGAAACGTACGATTTTGCAGCCCTATTTTTTTTTTTTTTTCTTTTAAGATAGGGTCTCTGTCGCCCAGGCTGGAGTGCTGTGGCACGGTCTTGGCTCACTGCAGCCTTGGCTTCCTGGGTTTAAGTGATCCTCCTACCTCAGCCTCCCAGGCGAGTAGCTGGGACTACAGGCAGGCGTCGCCATGCCCGGCTAATTTTGTTGTTATTGTTTACCTTTTGTAGAGATGGGGGTCTCATTTTGTTGCCCAGGCTGGTTTCAAACTCATGGGCTAAAGCAATCCTCCCGCCTGGGCCTCCCAAAGTGTTGGGATTACAAGTGTGAGCCACTGCACCTGACCTTGCAGCTCTATTTTCCAGATAAGGAAAATGAGGCTCAGAGAAGTGAGGTTATTTGCCCCAAGTTAAATAGTTAGGAAGTGATAAGGCCAATACTAGAACTTGTTTGGTGGGGCTTGAAACATAAGTTGTGGGAGGATATCTTCAAAACACACACACACACACACACACACACACACTACATACATACGTGTGTGTGCGACGTGTGTGTGCGTGGCTTTGGAAGGAGTTCTGGAACTTACAGCTTAACAAACGTCACAATAAATTTGCCTCTTGCCAAAGCCTTCCCTTCCTGCTGTATATCCTTGGTACATCTGTATATCTACAAAGTGGCTACTAGTATCATTTTGGATTATCATGACTCTACATGAACTCAGTGTCTGCCATGTATTTACCCCTTCCTGTGTACCTAGCAGTCTACACATCACACTCTACATATCTAGTTTCCACACATTATCCCACTCGATCCTTCAGAACAGGGTTTCTCAACCTGGATATTACGACATGTTGAATACATGATTTCAGTGGGCAAGGGGGACTATCCTAAACACTGTAAGAACTTTGGCGGCATCCCCAGCCCTTCGATACCAGTAGCACCCCCACCCCCAATCAAGGTAGTCACAATCTCTCCAGACGTTGCCAAATGTTCACTGGAGACCAGATCCCCATTTGAGAACCACTGCTGTGGAACAGTACTACTGAAAGGGTAGTCTGTAGACCAGTGTGAGACTGCAAACTATGTTATCTGCAAAGAGATGACTACAGAAATTGAGAGTGTTTTGAAACTTAACAGTTTGACATCGTTGCAACATCCAAGCACTTAGAGACCAGTTCTAGGTGTCTCTGAACTGGAATGCTTTGCAGATGAAGGGAGCTGGTTATTAGTCATGCACAGGGCTATGTAGTGGTCTGAGACAGACTAGAAATTATAAAAACTATTTCTTTGCTGTAGATAGTTTGAGAAATGCTATCATAGACAATCCTGTACAGTTACGTGGTTTTTTGTTTTTGTTGTTTTTTTTTAATATGGAGTTTTGCTCTTATTGCCCAGGCTGGAGTGCAACGTCGTGATATCAGCACCCTGCAACCTCCGCCTCCAGGGTTTAAGCGATTCTCCTGCCTTAGCCTCCCGAGTAGCTGGGATTACACCACACCTAGCTGATTTTTGTATTTTTAGTAGAGGCAGCGTTTCACCATGTTGGTCAGGCTGGTCTCGAACTCACTGCAAGCCTCCTGAGTTCAAGTGATTCTCCTGCCTCAGCCTCCCAAGTAACTGGTACTACAGGTGCACACCATCATGCCCAGCTAATTTTTGTATTTTTAGTAGAGATGGGGCTTAACCATGTTGGTCAGGATGGTCTCAATCTCTTGACCTCGTGATCTGCCTGTCTTGGCCTCTCAAATTGCTGGGATTACAGGGATGAGCCACCGTGCCCGGCTTAAAACAGTCCTTTAAGGTTCTGCCTGCGCCTGCCATTCAGCCAACTGTCAGTGTGTGCGAAGTCTAGCGAGAGGTGAAAGGATGACTAGTGGGGAACTGATCAGTCCCCACATGCATGGCCATTGTATGCCTAACAACTCATGGTTGTAAGCTCCTTTTTATTTATTTATTTATTTTTTATGGACAACCAGAGTGATCAGCGCCTTTTTAAATTTTATTTTTATTTTATTTTATTTTTTGATATAGAGTCTTGCTCTGTTGCCCAGGCTGGAGTGCAATGATGTGATCTTAGCTCACTGCAACCTCCGGTTCCCAGGTTCAAGTGATTCTCTTGCCTCAGCCTCCCAGGTAGCTGGGGTTACAGGCGCCTGCTACTGTGCCCGGCTAATTTTTTTTTTTTCGAGACAGAGTCTTGCTTTGTTGCCAGGCACCAGACTGGAGTGCAGTGGCACAATCTCAGCTCACTGCAACCTCTGCTTCCCAGGTTCAAGCAATTCTCCTGCCTCAGCCTCCTGAGTAGCTGGCACTACAGGCACGTGCCACCATGCCCAGCTAATTTTTATATTTTTTAGTAGAGATGGAGTTTCACCATGTTGGCCAGGATGGTCTCGATCTCTTGACCTCGTGACTTGCCTGCCTCAGCCTCCCATAGTGCTGGGATTACAGGCGTGAGCCACCATGCCCAGCAATTTTTGTATTTTTAATAGAGATGGGGTTTCACCATGTTGGCCAGACTGGTCTCAAACTCCCGTCCTCACATGATCCACCTGTCTCGGCCTGTGCTGGGATTACAAGTGTGAGCCACTGTGCCCAGCCATTTTTATTTCTTAAAGGTAGATTTCCATCCCCCAATTCAGTCTTCTGCATTCCTGCTTTGGGGGGTTTTTCATTTGTTTTTTTCGGTGAAGAGGATTCTTCAAAGGGAGTTTAAAATTTTTTTAGAGCCCTTCTAAAATGCAAAATACAAGAAAATGGTTGATTTACATGAAATTTTATAAATTGAACTTTAAGTTCAATTGTAGTCCAAACCTTAGAAATTCAGAATCCAAGACTTTTGGAAATTAGGGCAGATATTTATTTAACAAGGGCTATTTTGAGACACGACATTTAGTTCATGTAGGTTGTAGATTTTGTTTGACAAAGATCTTAAAATTACTTCTAGCCTTTGGAGTTATGACATGCTGTCTTTGTCACCTTCTCCTTCCTTCCTCCCCCTCACTCACCAAAAAAAGATGACTTTTCTATAGAGTCAGTTTTTTTTTTTTTTTTTTTTTTTCTTTTGAGACGGAGTTTCGCTCTTGTTACCCAGGCTGGAGTGCAATGGCGCGATCTCGGCTCACCGCAACCTCCGCCTCCTGGGTTCAGGCAATTCTCCTGCCTCAGCCTCCTGAGTAGCTGGAATTACAGGCACGTGCCACCATGCCCAGCTAATTTTTGTATTTTTAGTAGAGACGGGGTTTCACCATGTTGACCAGGATGGTCTCGATCTCTCGACCTCATGATCCACCCGCCTCGGCCTCCCAAAGTGCTGGGATTACAGGCTTGAGCCACCGCCCCCGGCATATAGTCAGTTTTAAAATAATAACTGGTTTAAGCATGGAGGGTAGGGAAAGGGGGTATCACAGATACTACACAGTTACTGATTTAAGTAAAACTACGGTCACATCTTGGTTTTTCAAAAGAACAGTAATGAGACTTAAGAACAACCCTGGTCTGGAACCCGATGTCCCTACAAACACACATCAGTGTACATTTGTTTGTTTTGAATGCTTCCCAAGATTGCTGAGATAGTCACAGAAACAAGATTGCATAACACTGCTGCTATTGAATAAACCTCTGACAGGTTGCTGGTTACGTTAGTAGTTTATTTTTTCTTTTTTTGTTATGTAGTAGTTTAAAGCCCAGTTCCTTATCCTGTACCACCAGGGCTCAGCTTGTGTAATCAATTGTAGTTCCCATTTCTCACCTGAGCACCTTGAAAATTTCAGGTGTGATATTTAGTCTTAAAAACATAACAGATTTGTGAGTTAGTTGCTTCTTTGGTCAAAAGGCCCTTGTCAAGACTCACCTTGGGACTGAAATACTTGAATGAATCCCCAGATCTTTATTAATGGCTTTAAAGACATAGTTGGGTTTCCTGCTCCCTTGTCCCCCTGTAATCAGACAATTTTCCACACAAAATCCAGAGGGATCTTTTTTTTTTTCCAACTAAATCAGAGGATGTTATTCTTTTGCCGACAACCCCCCAATGGCTTCTCTTAAAACTTAAAATTTATGTTTCCTTCATGGTCTCCAAGGCCCTGCACAGACTGGCCCCGGCCTTCCTCTCCAGCCTGATTTCCTGCCTCTCTTCCTGTACTCCTTGCCTGGTTGCCTCCTTTCTGTTCACTGAGTGTGTCGGGCTGATTCAGGACTCAAGGCTCTTCCTCAGCTGATCCTTGGGCCTGTAGTGAGCTCCCTGCAGAGCTTCACTTATAAGGGCTCAGCTTGGTTTTGTTTGTTTGTTTGTTTGTTTGTTTTTAAGATGGAGTCTCACTTTGTGGCCCAGTGGCACAATCTCGGCTCACTGCTACCTCCACTTCCTGGGTTCAAACGATTCACATGCCTCAGGCTCCTGCGTAGCTGGGGCTACAGGCGCATGCCACTATGCCTGACAAATTTTTGTGTAGAACTGGGGTTTCACCATGTTGGCCAGGCTGGTCTTGAACTTCTGACCTCAAGTGATCCACCCACCTAGGCCTCCCAAAGTACTGGGATTACAGGTGTGAGCCATTGCACCCGGCCTGTCTCAGCTTGAGAGTCTCCTCCTCGGATGCTTCCTGACCATCCCACCTCCTGCTGCCCACCATCTCCATCCCCAGCATGTTACTGTTTTTTTGTTTGTTTGTTTGTTTTTTCACGGTATATCAAGCTGTGTGAAATGCTGTCACCTGTATGTTTCTCCTGTGACAATAGATGGAGACACCTGGAGAGAGGGTCTGTTTACAGCTGTTTGTACAGCACCTGACACAGTGCCTGGCAGCAAGTGGCATTTGATCAATCATTGACAGTGAATGGATGACCTGGAACTGCCATTTGGAAGTAACCTGTTTTCCCTTTGCAGTGTTGATGGGGACCATTTTCAGCATCCTGCTGGTGACTGTCATCCTTATGGCATTTTGTGTCTACAAGCCCATTCGGCGTCGGTGACAGCCAGATGGCATCGGTGACAGCCAGTTCTTCAATGAGTATTTGGGAATAGGATAACTTGTGTTGCACATGGGCCAGTGGAGAAGTTGGAATCAAAAACTTTCCTACCTGGAAATGACCTTTGGTCTGGACGGTTGATAAACGCTAAATGATTTAGAACATCTACTAGCAATTATTTTTCCTAACACTGTAGTGCAAAGAACTGGCCCCTCAGTTTGCTTCTCAGTGTTTCTTTTTCTGACTGTACTTGTTAAAAGTAAGGCCTGAAAGCTCCAAAGGTCAGTGTAAAAATGGAGTGTTCATTCATTAGAAAGAAAACATGGTAACCTTATGAGTGCCTGTGAGAACCACACTGGAAAGAACTAACCATTAAATGCTTGAAAATGTTAATAGGAGGGAGACTTACAATATAGACTTTCTGTATTTAAGAATCATTTGGTCACAACGGGTTAAGAATCACAGATGTTTTTTCTCACCTGAGTTGGCCTAGAATGCGCTGGTTGCAAAGTGGTGTCAGCTGCGAGGATCTTGGGCCCTCATTTCTCACCTGCATCCAGCCCTGCACTCAGGTCCTCACCCCGAAGGCAGAGTCACATCAGGTAGACCTGTTACTACATGCACATTTGGCCTGGAAAGCTCTGAGGTTGGACTGGAAATGTTACCAGGTTGGTCCCTCACAAAAAGGACTCTGTCCTGCTCAGACGCATTAATCTCCCTTGCCCTGCCTTTGAGTCTTTCTAGCCCACGGTCTGAAACTTGAGGTAACTTTCCAGATTTAGAATCTAAAAGGCTCAGCAGGTGGTCTGTTCATCTCTGGGTGGGGAGGGCCCAGCCAACAGAAATGCACGTCCACTGTGCGGGCCAGTGTGTGTTTACACAAATTTCATCTCAGCTTTGAAAATGCTGCTATTAGTTTGCACTGTTGGTGAACTGGAATTTTTCCTCCTATTGAAATGATACTTTCATACTTATAGAGTGGTCATCAATATTTATTTTAAGGTGCTAGATTTAATTTTGTTATTACATTGAAATGCTTATCTTGTGTTCATTCAAACAGCACTGATTTTAACAACCTGCATTTAATGTGAAATAACTGAAATAAGATGTAACTGTTTAACTTAAGGATTTTGTTTGTAATCTTGTAACATTGAACCATTAAAATGTTCACTGTTCTGTGCTTTTAAGCAAAATGTCAATTAAAGTTAAATCCTATATACTGTTCTACTTCACCAATTATTTCCCAAGTGTTTGAAATGCAGATGTTTGAATTTGATCTAATCACTTAAGGAAGCCCTGTGAAGTGTAATTTTTTTTTTTTTTTTTTTTTTTTTTTTGGAGATGGAGTTCGATTCTTGTTGCCTGGGCTGGAGTACAATGGTGCAGTCTCGGCTCACTGCAACCTCCACCTCCTGGGTTCAAGTGATTCTCCTGCCTCAGCCTCCCAAGTAGCTGGGATTATAGGCATGAGCCACCATGCCCAGATAATTTTTTTGTATTTTTATTACAGACAGGGTTTTACCCTGTTGGCCAGGCTGGTCTCAAACTCCTGACCTCAGATGAACCATCCACCTTGGTCTCCCAAAGTGCTGGGATTACAGGGTGAGCCACCGTGTCTGGCCTAAAGTTGAGATTAAGAAGTCTCCTAGTGCTGCCTGTGATTTAGGGGCTGTGGAGTCATTTGCATGTTGTATTTTTTTCCACCAGGACCTCAGGCTTAAACCTACACATTTCTAGATAGAGGTCTGGGTGGGACTTCGAACTCCATCACTCACTGCACCACTGAGTCATTTGAAATTTCCACATCCAGTTCATCTTCCTTGAGGTCATTGTGAGCAGGAGACTGTGCGACCAAGCTGGCAGTTATGACAACTTCCCTTTCCTGTCATTATTTAGAATAGACTTCCCCACTTCCTTGACATCCCGCATTTATGTAGTGTGACAAGCTTGTTAACAGCAGAGTGCCTTAGGAACTTAGTTCCTAGCAGTGGTCTAATATGCAGAAGTTGCTCAATTAAAGTTTCTGGCCGGGTCAGGTGGCTCACGCCTGTAATCCCAGCACTTTGGGGAGCCAAGGCGGGTGGATCACAAGTCAGGAGTTTGAGACCAGCCTAGCCAACATGTGTGAAACCCCATCTCTACTAAAAATACAAAAAAATACATTGGCATGGTAGCACACACCTGTAATCCCAGCTTCTTGGGAGGCTGAGGCAGGAGAATCGTTTGAACCTGGGAGGAGGAGGTTGCAGTGAGCCAAGATGGCACCATTGCACTCCAGCCTGGGTAACAAGAGTGAAACTCCATCTCAGGAAAAAAAAAAAAAAGTTCCTGTTGATACTGGGCCACTCAAACTTAGCTTTTTAGCTTTTTAGTTTTTAGTTAAGTAATCCATAGGCATTGCACCTCTGACCTTAAAGAGTAATGGTTTTCTTCACAGTGTCCTTGTGGCTTCAAGTATTGATCTTTACTTTCCCCCAAAAGCAAAGCAGCTCCTTTACATCTTCCTGGAAATACAGCCTTGTTTCTGGAACCCATTCATTTCTACTGGCCACTACCATTGTTGTTTTTGGTACCAGCCTATTTAGGTATAGGAAGAGGTAGAAGACTTATCATCTGGACCTCTAGGAGCAGCCTCACAAAGCAGTCTGGCTTCAAGGGAGAGCACTGATGCAGAGCTTTGATGTTGGCTGGCCTTCCCTTACCCCATGAGAGCCAGTTCACCTCCAGGAGGACCACAGGGGTGCCCAAATAGCCCGACGCTGGCTTGTTTTTAGTTGCCATTTGAAACGAGCAGCATGAGGCCTGTTAACCTGGGTAGGAAGGCCGGGAGGAGGATGCCACCTTTGCAGTGATGAACTGAGTGATGTGAGGCATTTTAAGGTTCTACTGACATACGTAACAGGAAGTGTGGGTACATCCAGTGACTAGAAAAAACTGAAAAGAAAAACGACTCAAAGACTGGAATATTGTAGAAGCACCCTCTAAGGAAGCAGTCTTTATTTGCATTTTTAGAGTGAACACATAGGAAAAACGCTGCAACAGTTTAACACAACGCTCAGTCCCTTTTTAAGTGAATTCCTGGGGAGAAAGGCAAGGGCCTTGGGGAGCAGAGCAGTGGAATGCAGACACAGAAATTATCTACGTGTCACCTTCGTGAGCCAAGGACATGGCCTCGCTGCAGCCATTCCAAGAAGTGTCTTTGCTCACGGTAAACACCAGGTAAACAAAAGCCACACTGTGTATTCGAAATAAATATGACGTTGCCTATACTGGCCTCACGTGCAGAGAAGGAATTTTGGTCAGACCATGACAAAAGAAAAGAAAAGGCAGATGGTGAAGTGGAATTAAGAGCACAATTCTTTGTGTCTAGGAACGTTTCACTGGCAATACTAACTGTATGATACAGACGTTAACTGGAACAGTAGTTTATGTTTCTCTTCCTATCCCCAAAGAAGCACAACAGAGGAAATAGACGCAAAATGGAGGAGGGTATTGTTTACCAGGTGATTTCAGTGCAGCCTGTGGGAATGAATACACGGGCCACAGTGAGCAGCGCCCTCAGCTGTAACCCCAGGGTTCTGTATGTTGCGCTATGCCGCGATGGTTATTTACAGGAGGATTTGACAAAAGAGAGTCAACTACTAAAGTTATCCAAAAAAGGCCTGAGAAAATCTGGTTAAAATGTGTAACCTTGTATTGCTACTGATGGGAGTAGTTGTTTTTATACCTTTTACAAATAATAAAAAGATTCTCTTAAAAAATATATTTATCCAGAAAGGATGTTGATTTGAACTCTAAAAAGCAACGTGGAATCATCATTTTCTCTTTTGAATGAAGAGCCCTGGAGCTCCGTTGTTTTCAGCTCCCTTTCTGGTTGCAAGTCCATCCTTTCTCTGGAGTGAGTCTAGGGCATGCAGTGGGCTCTTCCTAGGTGTCTACGAGGAAAGCCTTCACTCGTGCCGGAGCAGAACACACCTGGTTTGGTTCTGTGTGTTCCAATATTTGGCCAGCTTGCCTACTTCAAGAATAAGCCTCAGTTTCTCCTAGCTGCTCCTTCAGGGACAGGATTAGCTGCCTTTGATTTAACCTGGAGAATCCTGCTCTCAAAAGAATTGCCTTTACAAATTCAAATCCGATCCCCTGATGCATGCAGTGAGGTGATATGAAACTATTAGTAATGTTTAAGGCTGAGGCAACATCCATGGCCATTTGTGTATCTTAATTTGATGCAAATAGTTAATAATAATCTAAAATAGATCCTATATGTATCTCCTCTAACTTTAGCTAGGTGTGGAAGGAATGGAATCAGATGGAGATGAAGGAAGAATAATGACAATGTCCTAGAAACCCTGTAAAAAGGTAAAGAGTAGATCAGCACAGATTACCCATTTCTTTGGTGAATAGTAAAGAAGTGTCTCCAATTCTCATAGACCACACTCCACAAAGGCTGCTGCTGCTGCTGCTCTCATATATAAAAGCACCCTGACTCTGCAATAACTTGTTCTGATAAAAATTTATCTACAAACCTGCGGGGATTGGGGTTTTGTCTAAAGCTGGTAGTAAAAATGTGACCTGCAAGCCAATATAGCTAATGGAAAGTGACGATGCTCTCCTCCCCTCAGCCTGGAGATGGGGCCTGCAATCCCTGGTCCCTTCTCCACCTCAGGGAGCAGCCTGGATGGGCCTGGGAGTCCCTGGTTCTGCACCTCTGCATAAAGAAGGGGCAGCTGTTGTCTGCTGCGTGCATGTGAGGTACAGGCCCTCAGCCCCAGGGCCCTGGTTGGCACAGCATCTGTGACAGCCCAGAGCCTCTGCTTTGTGCAGCCTATGGACCGAAAGGTCTATTTGTCAGTGAGTGATAGCTGTAAGACCTGCTGGAGCTCAGCCTCTTCCTCCTGGAGCCGGAGCTCCCATTCCTCCAGCTCTTTGGCAGAGAGCTCCATGGCCAACTGCAAGTCGTTATCAAAACGGCTTGTCTCACTCTGGGCGCTGGGGCACAGGCCTTCCGTGCTGCTGAGGAGGCTCTCCTGGATGGCCCTGGGTTGGAAAACAGGAAAAAAGGGAGAGTCACTACTATCATCATCATGGTGGCAGCAACAACTGCATTTCTTAACTGCTTACCAGGGGCACACTGTGACAGGCATTTAATATGCATGATGCCATTGAATCCCAAATAACTCTGGGGGCATAGGTGCTGTGTACAGGTAAGAAACCCCACTCTCCTGCCCCCCAAGACCACCCAACCAGTAAGTGATAGGGCCGGGAATTAAACTTGAATCTGTTTTAAAGCAAAACTCAGGTTCTTCACCAACAGGCTCTCACAGACCCCTAAAGTATAAGAAAAGTCATTGTAAAATGAATCCTTGCAGTTTCTCCTGTAATCTCTGGAGCTGTTTCCCTAAACTTCTTTATCTTTACAATTATATAAACTTCCCACTGAGGACATCTAGACCCTGTGATCATACATCCTTCACAGGAGATCAAACCAATCAAAAAACACTGACTCAATACCCGTCCCCAGTGGCACTGACCTGTGAACCAGTCAGCAATTCTATCACCCATTCCTGGAAACTTGCTATCAAGAGTCTAGCAAGTTTATTATATGAGTAATTGCCACAAGAGGAAGCAGGAGAGCCAACACTTTTCTAGTCTTTCCTGCCAGTGTGTGGCACCATGCATCTGCCTGGGGACCAAATGCACAGTGCCATGCGTCTGCCCGCCTGCTAAGTGCCTGTGTCCACCCTGGCTTAACCAGAGTCATGTCAATCACCTCTCATACTGGGCATCATAGGTATTTGTCTGGCTGATCCCTCCATTCGAAGCTGGTCCTGAAAGTTCCTGGCAAAGACAAATGTGACAGACATGAATACGTCTTAGGAGAAATTGGTGCCATTCTGGTAAGGAAACGATGGCAGCAAGAACCAAATTAAAAGTCTTTCCATGCCCATTATTGAGAGTGCTGTGTAAAAAATTAACAGGGACTTGGGTTACCTCAAAAACAACACCTAAGTGGCAGGTAGTAACATGCCACAGCCTAATTCACAGCCACAACCTTCTCATTCTTTTCTACAAAATCAATCTATTAAATACAGCTAACCCACATGGAAGATATACAAAACGAAAAACAAAACCACAGCTAACTCTGGGCAAAGTTCAAGTGACCCAAGCAGGTTTTCGGGTTTTTTTAGAGATAGGGTCGCACTCTTGTCCAGGCTCA